CGGTTTAGGTCCCAATACAACCAGAGACCACTAGGTACCCAGCAGAAACCCTACCAAGCGGTACAACCGGTGGAGCAGCCGGTAGTACCAGTGGGCAAGAGCCATCGGAACAACCGCTCCACCACCGTCCAACAACCGCTTCAAAACTGAAGGGAGTCACCCCATAGTGGTAGTTGAGGCAGTGGTTGCACAGTGCAACCGTCAGGTCCAAGAACGGGTGGTGGCTAAGTCCCGAGCGGTACAACCGCTCCGAACCACTGATTGTACCGATCAAAAGGAATCAACCAATATAACCGGGCCACCACTGCCTAAGAACCGCCCCACAATAGAAGCCTGTCCGGTGGTAGGGCAATACAGGGCCGGTACAACCGCTAGAAGGCAGTCCTAGGGTTTGCCAGAATTGAGGTGGGACACCGCCCTGAGGCAGCGGTACAACCGCTGGCAAGCGACCTGGGAATTGTAACCCCAGGGTATCACCCCTAGGGCGGTGGTTGCATCGGACGTACCAGAAAAGCGGTACAACCGCTTGGGTCGCCGGTACAACCGCTGGGAGCAAAAACCACTGTTTGCAGAAGGAGTTTGAGGACCTTTCTCTCCTCAAACGGAAGGATATATTGAAGGTGTAAAAGAATGTGTACGTGCATTGATTCAACCAGTTCCTTCCGATGCGGATTCCGTCTTAATAGTATGGGATTCCTACGACCAAAGAAATAAAACTCGTAGAAACCACCATCTTAAAGCCATCTTGACACAAATGAGATCCGCTAACGAGATTTTTTTTGTTGATTTAGGGGACATGTTGCACATTCTTCAGTGACATGATATTTCCAAGTAAACTTCAAGTTGACTATATGAAAAACATTAACGTAATCATGTGACACATTTCCCATCTGCACGAATGAAGCCTAACATCGCAATAAGTGGAATATGTAACACTCACAACATTAGCTTTCATGTCAACCCACCATTCAGCGGAATGACATATTGAAAGAACATTATGGAAATTACCATACATTGTTGTCTTCATCTTAGGTAATAACGTCGGCGGTCTTGCCGCTTTTCCCATGATATTGCCAATCATGTGGTCAGTGCCTAGGATCACACATGGCACTCTAATTTTGTCTCATCCGTCTCCTTAAAGTTGGTAGACCGTGAGCCCTTATTCTTGCCTTCAAACTTTCCCTTGCCATCATATTTGTTCTTGTTGAACTTGTTGGATTGCAAACTATTCTTTTGTATTTTGCAAAAAAAAACTTTTCCTTTGTACCACATTTGCACTAGAATTTCAGCCATTGACTAGAGCACATGTTTTTTTTTGCCCTCGCCTATTCTTGAACATTAAGAGTCCCAATGAGATTCACAACGAAAAACTCATATCTCTTGAGTTCTAGGAAAGTGGCAAAATTTCTCCACGAGAGGGGAAGCTTGGCAATAACATCGTCGGCAACAAACTTGTCTGGCAACACACATGAAAAGTGCTCATGTTCCTTGGCAAGTGATTAGATCTCATTTGCTTGCTCAATTACTGAGCAATCATTGATCAATTTTTAGTCATGATATGGCTCATTGAGATACAACTCACAATCTACATCTGAGACCCCAAACTTGGCCTGATCCCACTTATCTCTGCTATTAAATATAATCATGTAAGGATTGACTATATTGTCACCAAGAACGCCGAGAACAGTACCTCTGAAGAGGTTATTGACGACCTCAGATGCTTCCGCCTGTTGAGAAGTAAGCGTACCATCAGGTTTTCCCTTGAAGGCATGAAAACAGATCATGGCCGTCCTTGTGCACCACTTCTTGTAATTCACACCCTCACGTACACAAGGTTTGATGGTTGCAAAGCCAACCGATGAAAATTGCCTATAATATTTCTTTTTGGATTCCTGAAAATATGAGTAGTTTTTTATTATAATTAATCCCGAAATGAAGTAGACAATGCAACATGAAACTAATACACAAAATGATCCAACCACTGGTAGTGCTCAACAATCTAGACTTGCAATTTGGTAGACAAGGAAATTATAGCATGCTAACACTAACACCAAAAGCAGTCCCTAACATAGGCATAAGAACACATACGTGGCAGATGAAGAAGAAGCACCCTTGGAAGCAACATTGGCAGCGATCATAACGGCCTCATCGGTGGTATCGTTGGAGTCATTTGAAGCCATTGAGACAAAGTAGACAATGTCAAGGAATTGGACGAATCAACGAGTAGTCAGGTGAACACTCCCCAAAACCATATCGCCTCTCTTCCGTTCCCCAAAACCTTATCACCTCTTTTACGTAAGTGGTCGCAAGAGGCACGGTTCCGGTGGTCTTCTCATGACATGCATGGTTCTGGAAAAGTCTCTCTCTCTCTCTCTCTCTCTCTACGTAGGGGCGACCACTTATATACTTGAACAGTCAAAGTTGAACCATTATAGAAGATGAAAGGAGCAGGCCACAAAACTGGTCGGATTTATCTTCCACTACAACACAAAATGTTTCGATTTCTGACACGCGTAAAAAAGAAGACAACGCACACACTTGGCTTGTGTTTGAGTCCATCTTATCCTGTTCACAAAACAAGGTGCGCGAGGTGAGGTGGACCGCGAAGGATCAATGCGTGTGCATGTATCTTCTTTTGAAACTCTTAGCGGTGGAAGGAAATTTCTCGAAAAATATGCTGGTCTAACTCCCTTGCGAGTAGCAAAAAATACGGGCTAAAGTCCACCTAGAAATTATTGAATTTGTTTAATAGTCCTGATCTACATAGTTCCAACAATCACTTGTGTGCAAGGAGAATTCTCCGAATTTCAGTAGGAAAGCAAAGCATTCACGGGCCAGAGATAGATAGCTTGTTTCCTGCATTATGTACAAAAAGCACGGAGACAGCACGCAAGACAACCCGTGTCACATGAGCGGCTCGTCAACCAAGCAGCAGCAGCATAGCGCGGCGAAACTGCAACATCACACAGGAAAACGGAAATCAGAGATATAAATCCCTTCGCAGCAGGATGAAAACTACTCCCTCCGTCCCATAACCAAAAACATCTTTATATTATGAGACGGAGGGAGTAATTCCTAACGGTGGTGCGTTGATTAGCATCTTACAATCCTAATATGAAGCACGTTGTGGACACCGGAGGCTTACGAGGAGGCTCCTCCTCCTCCTCGTCCTTGGACGGAGGCATCATCGGCCCAGGAGTTCCTGAAAATAACAATTGCGACGCAGTCAAGGAAACAGCAACATTTGATATGATTGGATTGAATGTTGATTCAGATTTTCCCTAAAAATGGCGAACATGCGAGTCAGGGGGAAAAGGCTTTGAATTGTGCCTGCGAAAATTTCAGTTGCATTGCATTCAAGAATGATTCTATTTTTCTTTAGGGGAAAGGGCCCGGCCCTGGATCCATTGCCGTAATGAAACCACATGAAGGCGTGGATAATTTGCAAAGGCGGCGGGGAGACAAATCCAGAATGGTTACCTGCTTCCCCGTCGCGATGAGAGATGCCCTGATGTTGATGCATATTGCGATGCGGCAATGGATGGATTCTCTCTCGGCAATTGGAATGGGCGGGAGAGGTGATGAATTATCTTATCTTGCTTCAAATGGAGCGGGAGGAGAGGATGAATTGTGTCTCTACAAATGAAATGCAAGATGCCTCGAAAAAGAAAGAAAAATGCAAGAGGTTGGACTATCTGTCAAGAAATGAAACGGGAGAGAGGTTGAATTGTCCCTTGACAAATGAATCGAGAAAGGGAATCAATCATCTCTTCTTCTTTTGCGAGGGGAGAATGGATATCTGTCGATCAACAAATGAGAGAGAGAGCGAGAGAGAGGCGAGGAGGAGAATTGGTAGATCCAGAAAAATGGTAGATCCAGAAATATCTTGTGGACGAAGCAACCCATGTGTTCAAAGCAGCAAACCAAAAATAGTACTAGTAGTATCGGCGCATTGAACGTCCGGAAAGTTCCAGCGGTCGGTTACGATTACGACGTTCGTTTTTTCAGAGGTGCCGGCTACGACGTTTTTCATAGAGTTTACATCAGTTCCTCGAGCTGTCGGCCACTCCAAATCACGCACCGCAGATCAGATATCTTGTTTCTTTTCTTTCTCTCATTTCGGGACAGAAGTGAAAGAAACGGGAGCGCCCTGTCTGTCTCTCCCAACGCTACAACGATACAGGCAGGCGACAATGCATGATGCAGACTGCAGATGCACACACCCAACCTGCACTTTTCACCGCGAAAGTTGCGTGCGGTCATGCTCATGCGTGCTTGCCACGCGGTTCACCGGTTGCTTAGCCATCGCTTCTCCGCACGTTTCTCCGATCGTTGGGTGTGAAAAGCTGGCCTTCCTTTCATTTTTGTCGTTGTTTGTTTCTCCTCTCTCTCTCTCTTTCCGTGTCTGCGTCGCGCATGTGATTAGATGAACTTTCTTCTTCTTGGTGCCGTTTTTTTAATGAACCGACAGAAATCGTAGCGGTCGACGAGTTCCTGATGATGGTGGAATGTGGGGGCACCCCAGGATTCGCCAAAAAGGAGACAGAATGAGATACGATACGACCTGCCGCTCTCATGAACGGATTACGGATGGGTGTATGCACAGGGTAATTGGGGCAAAAGTCCATGGAAAATACGTACATACGTAGCTGATAAGTAATATAATTCACAATTGACAGTGGAAAAGAGATTAACATGTACAGACTAGAGAGCAAGCATGCAGGCTAATGAGCTAGCTACCTAATTAAGCCGTGCATCCTCGTGCCGGGCAAGATGCTTATTGTCTCCTTGAAATTGAATCCTACTAGTACAAGCTGGTAGATAGAGTAGATCGCTCGTTCGGGATCATGGCCTCCATGATCGAGATGCGTGCCGCGTGTTTGAGATTTTCAGTACAGTCGCACGTTTTCAGCGCTGGATCCCTCCCTCTCTTCAGGCGAGTCATGGCGTCAGTCATGGGTGTGGTAGATCAGTTGCAGTTGGCGTAGCATGTTCTCTTCTCACTCGAACAACCTCCTGCCGTCGCTGTCGAGGCGCGTGTAGCCGAGCACGCAGTTGGCGTAGGCCACGTTCTTGAGCGCCTTGCCGTGCCACCTGCCGACGGCGGCGACCCCGGTGCGGACCGTCTTGAGCAGGCAGTCGGCCGTCCTCACCACCCTCCGCACGCCCGTGGGCAGCGACAGGTAGGGCGCGTTGAAGAGGTGGAACTCGAGCGCCGCGGCGGGGTTCTGCTGCTGCTGCGGCGGCTGCGGCTGCTGCTGCTGCCGCGACGCCATGAGCATCCTGCCGACCTGCCGCGCGAAGCCGGCGCCCAGGGAGTGGCCGCAGAGGCACACGTTCTCGGACCCGAACCTGTCGATGGTGGCCCTCAGCGCCTGCAGCGCGCCGTGGAGCCTGGCGGAGCCGCGGAGGCTGTTGCACGCCAGCAGGCGGAGCTCGTCCTCCACGTCCCGCCGGATGGTCGGCGCGCGCAGCAGCGTGCCCCGGAAGGCGATCACCGCGCTGGGCGCGCCGGTGGGCCTCTCCTCCTCCCCGCGGCGGTCGAGCAGGTGGCGGTCCTCCCACTCGAAGATGGCGCCGAAGACGGAGCCGTCGCGCTCGTCCACCAGCTCGTGCGCGAGGCGGTAGCTGAAGGGCTTCCACCACTGCTGCGCCACCTCCGCCGCGTCCCGCCGCTCCTGCCTCTCCAGCTCCAGCAGGTACACCGCCTCGATCAGGCTCGCCATCACCATCCTCCTGTAATCGTCGTCCCTCCTGCAAACCCCAAACCAACAGGAAAAACACAACATGAGACACGCATTCCTCGACCTCCCTCGCAAACCCAAACCAATCAGTCGCGTAATTCAGCACAATAGGGAGGAAGATCGATCGAGCGCATGCATGCATGCATGCTTACCAGCTGGTGTGTGTGAGCTCTCTCCAGGAAGTGGAGCAGGGCAAGTTGTCACGCGCCCCCATGTCCGCCATGCGCTAGAAGCTGAAGCTCGAAGCTAACCAGCACAAGGCACTCAGGCAGTAAGTAACCACTCTCCCTCCCTCTGCGTCTCTGTTTGCTGCTTGCTCGAGTCGGGTGTGGACGATGTCGTAAGGAAAGTGTGTAGGGGGAGGCGGGAAATATATACCCGGGACGGGAGCCTCGGCCTCGCAGGCAGCCTGGCAGGATCTTTCGCTCAAAGCAGGGGAGGGAGGGAGGGAGGGAGGGAGGGACGGAGGGTGGTGTACGGGCAGGAAGGAAGGAAGGAAAAGGAAGGATTGGGCCGAATTTGCTGGCTAGTGGAGCGAGGGCATAGTTTAATGGCGGGAATAAAGGGAGCTTAGCAAAGAGAACAAAGAAAGATCGCTCTAGGGGATAGCCAGCGCGCGCTTTCCAGTTCCCCGCAACTTGACTGAATCGGAATTGGGGGCGAGCGATCGATCGATCTCACACGGATGGCCGCCGGTTGCTTGCTTGCTGCCTGCGAATAGTTGCGCTCCAGGCTGTGAAAGGGCAAGCGCGCGGATCGGGCGGACTCCGTCGATCGCAAGCTTTAGGGGAGCATATATTCCGTCGCCCACGGCCTGCCTAAATCAGCCTGGACCATGCATGCATCGCCCTCCTCCCTACCCGCGGACGGAGATGTTATGTCCCTCGCTAAGCATCGAATCTCGTGGCGGGCTCCGTGAGCTGTACTTGTGTTGCGTCGTGTGTATGACAGGTTGGGTTAGGCGGCCCGACGCGTCGATGGACGATGGCCGCGGGGACAGGGGTCGTGGGGTGGCTGTCGTCAGGGGGAAGGCTGGCGCCGGTGGTGGTTGATTAGGCGCCTTGGTTAAGCGGGTGATTTGGTCACGTTTTGTTACGCTAACCAGCGGAATTTGTTCCCTCGCGGGTGTGGGTGTGGCCAGTGCGGTCGTGCTCCGCGTGTCTGCTTCGTTCACACTTCACACCCAGGGCGTTCGTTTTCTTGATTACTACTGCTGCCGGGAAGCTTATGATTGTGCAAGTTGCCAGATCTTTTCGTTAACTTGGGTCTGGCTGGACGCTACATATGGATCGACGATTTGGGTGCGTAGGTTAAGGTCAGCTATTGCAGACGTCGGGTCACCTTGCACTCATTTCCAAGGAAATGCTTCTTTTTATATAATCGATCATTTTGGTACCAAATTCTTGCGGTGTGAAATCGCGTTTATAAAGTTCGAATGGCAAGCCTTTGTGATACAGATTTTCTTATTCTCATCTAAGTGCCACGTCACTTGATTTTATGTGGAATATTTTATTTTCGTTTGTTTAATTTTACTTCTTTTCTTTCGTTTCTTTTTTTTTGTGCCTTTTTTATACCGCGTGAAACTACTTTTGCATGTTCGTGTCTGCACACCCATGGGCTGCGAAATTATATACACAGGACTGATGACGGGGTGGGATTTGGAATTGAAATTGGAAGGTTTGACAGCCAAGGAGCGGCAAATAAGTCACGCTTCGACATAGCTGAAGCTCTAGGTGAATAATCTCTTTCTTAAAAATCAAAACGAAAATCAAAATGACAAATCTGGTTCGATGGCTCTTCGGTGTGAACCTACTAACTGGGGTTTTTTGGGGGGTTATTCTAATAGTTCTAGTAGCAACCGCTTTAGTATTTTTGGTTTCCGTTTCTTTCTCTTGCTCTTGGATCCGTCTATCGACGTGCAACTGCAGTTGCATTGCATACCCGTTGACCGTACGGTGCATCGGTCGGGTTTACTTTATTTTATCCTTTTTCACACCATGCACATCTTACGCGTCTGCACACATGTATTCAACTGCAGTTGTATATCTATGTATCGGAACACAACTACATGTCTACCTACCTAATGCGATTGTAGTTGCATGTGCATGCACATGTGCGCAAGTGCGTACTCATCGGCGTGCTCAACTATATTTACATATTTTCTATAAAAATAGTCATGAGGCAAAAAAATAAAAAGAAGAAAAAGTAAAAGTGAAAGAAGAAAAGAGGAGAATAACAAAAGAAATCTATGTTGATGTGAGCACGATGAGATTTAGTTAATCCTCATCTAAATGGGAGGTAGCCACACCTTTTGTGATACTCCAATTCCTCTATTACGGAGCCGCTCATGTGAAAGACAAATCCTAAAAATTATTGCAAGAAACACTTAAATAGCGTCGGCTCAACAAACTTGACGCCGATGCTTGAAGAGACCTAGTGCTTGTTGGAATTTTTTTTTCTTTTCGAAGAGGAGGTTCAAACCGCTTGTGATGTACACAACCATTTTTATTAAATTGAATGTAAGACAGCAAGGTCAAAACCATCAACAAGTGAAGTACAAAGCAAAGGCGACATGGTAGAACCAATACAAGATATGAATTTAACACCTATGACTAAGTTGACTTCTTCAGTAATAACGCCTTCAAGAAGAGATAAATGCCCTTCCGCCGCCATCGCCACATCTCGTCGAAGAAAACCAAGACATTTTTCATCTAATTGTCGTGACCAACCACGGAAGGCTGGCACAAAGACAAGGAGATAACACCTTCAACAAAGTCACAACGCAAGCTCGTGACTGCGAGCCCGACCAATAAAGGCCGGGACAAGGGTTTTCACCCAGACATGAAGCGGTGTTCCACTCACAACCTTGATGACGTCTCTTCCTAAAGTCGTCCCATCCAATAATCCAATCCAGGCGGGAGTGGTACTACCTTGATGACGACTCTTCCAAAAGTCATCCCATCCAATAATCCAATCCAGGCCGAAGTGGTACTAGCAAACAGGTGATAAGTACTCCCATCTTGGACAATCAGCATGATCATCGGGAGGTCGGCCATGTCTCGATGCGGATCTGGCCGCCACCACTCCACATCGATGCAAACTGACATGCAACATCCACCATGTCCACATGGCATTGCCCTGGTGTCCTCAGCATGAACAAAGGCTCTGGTTGATGCCGACGGGGAACTGTCAGCACACCCCCGGGGCCATCGACAGCGTATGCTTGCGTCGGGAGACGAATGCTTGCTGGCGCCCTCCAAAAGCAGTCATGCCACCACCTAGTGCCAGATCTGCCGTGTACAGAGTCACCGCCATTGTATCAGCCCATGCCATTTGGCCTGCCACTCGCAGCCATTGCGTCGCCACTTCATAATCTTGCGTCGTCTGGGCTGCCACTCGCAACCATAGCGTCTCCATTGTCATTATATCATCGGGTTGTCCGAGCAACTGCTTGAAGCCATCTAGTGACCATTGCATTATCTCGCACCGCCTGGGCGGAGCTAAGGTGCACTTTGTTGTTGGAGATGATGACTTTGAACACAGTCGCGACGCTTGACCACACCGTTGCGGCAAACACAGCCAACGACAAGCAAATCGATGGTGGTCCGATCTGTCCGTACAACGGCGTGCTGCTAGCCAGCGCGAAGGTCCTTCATGTTGATCCAGCCCACCCAGGAATCCCCGATGGTAACGAGCTGGAGCACGGGTTGGATGTGGAGGTGTACAAGGAAGAAGATTGGGCTCCGGCACGGTGACAGCCATCCCTACCACCACCTTGATCTGGGGCGTCGGCGCCGCTGTGGCCTTGTCCACCCCGGATGTTAAACATGAAGTATGTGATAACTTTTTGCCATCTATCATTGCTGTGATGAATAAGATCTCCCCATCATGACGTCATTCCCGTGATACTGGCATCGACGGGGGGCGTGCGTAGCTTCAGTCAAACCATATCTGTGGCCTTGTTTTTGACTTCATTCGTCTATGTGACCAGCAACATCAAACTAAGGGGATGACATCGTTGGTTCCTTCTCCGTTACATAAATGAAGCCCGGTCACATGTGGATCTCTCGTGGAACTTGTGAGGTTTATGCCCCTCATATGTATGCCCGGAGTTGGAATATATTTGTCCCTCCCTGGGGCCAGCTTCTCTGTGACGGTGATCTTCCTAGATTGGGTCGCGGGCGTCTTCTGGTCTAAGCCTACTATTCTATTTGTATGTAGTAGGTATGTTTGGTCAAGGTAAATGTACCAACATGTAAAAAGTGGAAGTTGGGCCCTAAAATTGCCTATTGTGTCTTTTTGGTTATACACATAATAGCAATGCTTGTACATTTTTGGTAATTAAACCTTAGATTTCTAACATGCACGCTAACATTGTGACTGAATCTCGAGATGCAACATTCTTTGAGACCATTTTTCCATGAAAGCCAATAGAGCGTTCACTAGCCAACCAAACTTACATTTAGAACATAAACATGAACCTTCAATTGAAGTAGCTTCTGTATATTGTAACAAGGAGAATAACAATGATGCATCTCCTAGAAGGAGCAAGAGACAAAGGACTAAAAAATATTTTTGGTGATACTTTGTTGTATATCTTGTGGATGGCGTACCCAGAACACTTTCAAGGCCATATGCATCCCCAGATGGAGATTACTGGAAGGGGTCGTTGAGGGAGTCCTGGATTAGGGGGTATCCGGACAGCCGGACTATATACTTTGGCCGGACTGTTGGACCATGAAGATACAAGACTCAAGACTTCATCCCGTGTCCGGATGAAACTCTCCTTTGCGTGGAAGACAAGCTTGGCGATCCGAATATTATATTTCCTTCTTTGTAACCGACTCCATGTAAACCCTAGCCCTCTCCGGTGTCTATATAAACCGGAGGGTTTAGTCCTTAGAGGAAGAATCATAATCATCATAGGCTAGCTCCTAGGGTTTAGCCTCTACGATCTCGTGGTAGATCAACTCTTGTAACATTCATATCATCAATATCAATCAAGCAGGAAGTAGGTTTTTACATTCATCAAGAGGGCCCGAACCTGGGTAAAACATCATGTCCCTTGCCTCCTATTACCATTGGCCTTAGACGCACAGATCGGGACCCCCTACTCGAGATCCGCTGGTTTTGACACCGACATTGGTGCTTTCATTGAGAGTTCCTCTGTGTCGTCGCTGCAAGGCTTAATGGCCCCTTCAATCGTCAACAACAACATGGTCC